CACTCGATGGGCTTGGGACAGCTGTACGGGTGGCCGTTATCGTCGAAGAAGCGGCGGAAGGTGAACTCGTAGAAGGCGTGCTCCGGGTGCTTGCCGTTCTTGAACCAGCGGTTGAGCGTGTCGTTGTGGTTGCTGTCAGCGTCGTCGCTCCAGAGTTTGTCGGGGTCAACGGGGTCAAAGTTGGAGGTGTCAGTGCAGTGTGTGATTTTGGGGATGTAAGGCGCATAGTGTTGCTGCCGCAGATCTGTGGAGAAGTCGATGCTTTTGAAGAAGGGATGGGCTTTAATCTCATCAGCTCCATTTTTCCCAAGCCGGTCTTCCGGGCCACGGCAGAGCTTCAGGATCAGGTCGGTGGCCTCCGGACTCAGCTTGGCCTGCAGGGGAATGTGTAGGGTCGTCTGCCAGTTTATCACCTGAGATGGACACAACCACAAAGCAAGATGATTTAACTCTGTGTGTAGCTATGCAAACATACAGCTGATAACTGCACTGACTGACAGCATCTGTTGCCCAATATTAACAATATTAATTAGTTAATGCTGCATATATGTGTTACAACATGATGAGACCAAACACATCCACCTCTAAGGACCAACATGTATTCTCACCTTCATCTGGGTCTCAAAAGGATTTGTTGCCAGAAAAGGAGGCTGACCGACTACCATCTCATAGAGGATAACACCCACACTCCACCAATCACAGAGCTGGGTGTAACCTAGGATAAAAAAAAATTAAAATAAATAGATAAAACGATCACATCACTTCCATCAATTTAAAGGGTCGTAAAATCTCAAGATTACAGCAGCATACAGTTCTGTTGTACCTCACAACACAGTTTAAACTGCAAACGAGCAACGTGACTCGGAAACTAGTTCAAAACTTCATAATAGTATGTGCGCCATTATTATAAATCAAAGAGACGATCTGTATCGCACCGTATGTGTGCAATTAAATCAGTTTACACACGCACCATTTGAACCTAAAATAAAGTTCTGAAGGTTGAAGCGAATTACAAGGATGTTCACAGTGGGCTGTGTTTACATCAATCTCGCATCATAGAAGCCGATGTGCAATTTAACCACTTACATTACTCAGCTGAACGCACAAGCGCACTTCTTCGTGAGCATTTGAGTGTGCAGTTAAAAACTAGCCTAGAGCGCCATCTGCTGTTAAAAACTAAGCTCAGAATCGATTCGAGAGAGAATCACACGATGCATTCTGAAAATCTCAGAACTGATCCACGAATCACGATGCATCAATTTATTGTTCCAGCCCTACCGATTACAGGAATTCAAAATAATGCAATTGATTTCCATCCATTTGCTGTGTTGCCCCTGTTGCCCCAGTACAAAAAGCAACACGGAGTAAACATGATAGTGGTTTCTGCACGAAACACTGTGGTACATGTGGTACATTTCCACATTCAGTGAGTGTGTTTAAAGGGGTCATATGATGCGATTTCAATTTTTCCTTTCTCTTTGGA